CACTTCTGGAAGAATGGTCAAACATTCCCATAGACACCCTCCTAAACCTTGTGGACGGCCTTCCCAGAAGAGTTGAAGCTGTTATAACTGCAAAGGGTGGACCAACTCAATATTGAACCCAATGGACTAAGACTGGGATGCCATTAAAGTTTATGTACATGTAAAGGCAGGCCGACCAATACTTTTGGCAATGCATAAGTGTATTGGTCCCAATTGATATATTACAATGTTGCATATATTCAACTTTCTGGGTCACTTTTCCAATTTACTAGAATCTGTTCTTCTTGTCAAGATACAGCTCAATGAGTTTCCTGAATTGCATTCACTTCATCAGGAGGTACATTTGGAACAAGACTAGTGTATCTGAAAGCTCTCCACTAGAAAGACCCCACAAGGGGAGGGAAGCCGAGGCATAGCACGCACGCCCCCCTATTGACGACAAGCACAAGGAGAAGCACCACACAGTTTAAAGATTGCAGACAATAAAAATGTTTGGTATTTAAATGGAGGTTCAGGTTGTGCCTTAAAAATCCTGCCAATTGCTTGCATTGCATGGCAATCTTGGGTTTAAATCAGGTGGTGAATAGGCAACACATTGCCTCCTCACCACCTGTCAAACACACTCAGATCACTTTCCAGAGGAGCAGCAGTGCCTGCTGCACTTGTGAATGTGTCCTTAGTTGCATTCAGTGGCAGCACCCTTAGGGCTTGTTCACACGTAAAGCTGGGGGGTGGTAGAACCCTGTGGTTTAATCATGGTTTTACCCCCCCAGTCCCTAACCCCTTTAGCTGCTGAGGCAGCCTCCAAAGGTGTACATGTGCTCCAGCAGGAATTAAACACCTTGTTGCTTTTGGTGGGTACTGCCACCTGCCAATCCCAAACCATTCAAGTAAATGGGGCCACTCTGCAAGCGCCCCTCAACTGCATGCTGCTGCAGGGTCCAAGGGGTTAAAGCAGCCGATGAGAAAGCAACACAATGCTGCCTGCTTTAACCCCTTGTTTGCTGTACTGCACAAGGCTGCAGGGCACTTGCAGAGTGTGCTACACCCACCAACCATGACATGGCATATAACAACCGGCTGTGACATGTGTACACCCCTGCTGCTAAAGGGTTGTGGTTGGTGTGGTGGTGGTAAAAATGTGTCTTAAATATGGGGTTATATTACCCCCCCAAAATGCAAATGTAAATGAACCCTTATTGTTCTGAACCCCCTATAAGGATGCTTTCACACTGATGTATTGTGCTTTACCTGCACAGTGGGTGCAGCGCATTGTGCATCTGCAACTTTTCTGGGTCAGCTGTGTTTTGCCATAGTCTTCTCTTATTCTATCCTGCAGGTGTGTTGCACTTTCTGAAAGCTCCTGCATTCAGAAGTTGTGGTGCGCTTTCATAAAGTGCGCCAAACCCGCAGGATATAATAGAGGTCTATGGCTAAGCGCAGCAAACTTGCAGGAAAGCTGTCGGTACACTGCACAACACCCGCGGTGTGGGTAAACCGCAGCACATCAATGTGAAAGCAGCTCTATACTATTATGCCCGGTGTATTGCTTCACACTGACCTGAAGATCTCTTCTTTCTTGCTGCTGGCACCACTCTGGAGACCGCTAGATGGGATAAGAGGTGGAGTGCAGTTGGTATCACTCTGCGTAGGATAGCACTACAGAGGAGGCATCGGCTTATGCGGCTCCTGCTCCCAACTACACTTTACAAGTACTCCCTCTGCATTGCACACTGTTTGATGCTCTGGGATGGTGGTCAGACCGTGATCTACCAGTCACCTGTCTGTGATCTACAGGTTGCTAACCCTCGATGTATGTATATATATATATATATATATATATATATATATACACACACACACAAATGTTTTGTTCATTTTGAGTAAGGACAGATAATTCATATAGCATGTAGTTCTAGAATCCATCTGCCCTTAGCCCAGGCATGTAAGTAGGAGCATGTACTTAGCTGAGAAAGCCCCTCCCCCCTTCAGATGAAAGAAAAAAAATGCCCATGAAGACCCCTGGGATGTATGACATCCATTTGGCCTAGGCCAGAAACCAGGAAGCCAATAAAGAAATGTAAACAAAAAATTAAAAAAAGTAAATATGTTATACCTTCCTATCTAATTACTAATGCTACCAGCATAAGGATTAAAAATAGTTAATGTGCAGTGGGCACCCGGCTGTGAAGCCACAAGTTGTCACAACCGAGTGTCCACACTAAAGATGTTGGTGCCAGGGAGAGAAGACGGCCGGTGAAACCACCAGTGGTGAGGACGCCGCTGGACCGAGGGACAGGTAAGTGTCTGTAATTTAAAAGTCAGCAGCTACAGTTTTTGTAGCTGCTAACTTTTATTTATTTTTTTTCAGCTGGAACTCCGCTCTAATTTCTCTTGTACTATTAGCTACAATGCACTTCCACAAAATGGCAAAATTGTGCTGGAATATTTTTATTTTTGCTGAAATTTCTAGAAAGAGAAAACTATCAGTTTTTCTCATCCATAAGCCTCTGTTCAAACCTTTTCAAGTGCAACAGTGCGTACGTTTTTGCGTTTTACATTTAGGATAGTCCATTCATTTTAATAGGCTGCCTGAAAATCTGCATGAAAATTGCACAAAAGAAGTGCATGACCCTTTCTTTTAACCTCCCTGGCGGTATTCCCCAGCGTTGCTCGGGGTAAAGTTTCAGCACCACAAGCGGTAACCCAGAGCTACACTCGGGAATACCTTGCAGCGCTGCTCCGGGATCTCTTCTTCACTTACCTTGTCCTGCGCTCCCGCGATGTCCCTCCTGCAGTGTCCCTGGCAATGTCCTCCGGCGGATGCCGGTATCCGTCTTCTGGGTTCTGTTCCCTGCAACGTCGGGACGTACAGGGGACGGAACTGGTGGGAAATTTGAAAGTTGTAAAAGTGACATTCACCAAATTCACTAAAATCTGATAGTATTACATTACTGTATCAAACCATTTCACATACATTTTGTCCCGAGTGCATTTTTACTGTTCTTTCTGCCTGGAAACTGAGAAATGTCCATGGCGTCCAAAAAGCATCCTTTTAGGTCAAAAGCGGGTTTAGACCAGCTAGAGAACAGCGATAGTAAATCAGAACCACTTGCAGAATTGAGTGATAATGAATCGTGGGGAAATTCGTCATCAGACACTGAAAACGATTTTGCAACCTTGCTCAGTGATGTGCGAACTTGGCGCTATATTTCAAATTTCAGTGTTTTTGGTTTGATTATATTATTGAATTAAATTTATTATTATTATATTATTATTTTTTTTTATGATTATTTATTAAATTATAATTTATGATTTCGTGTTTCAAATTTTAACATGTTTACTAGACTCTTGTCGGACAGATTTCAGTGAGTTATTCCTAAAAATTACAGGCCTACAATAAAAAAAATACATATTTCCATGCAAAAAAATTTATTGCTTTGAGCACAGAAATATGGACATAATCAGACCGTTAGCGAGGCTACATCACACAGGGGTTGATTTACTAAAACTGAAGAGAACAAAATCTGGTGCAGCTGTGCATGGTAGCCAATCAGCTTCTAACTTCAGTTTCTTCAATTAAGCTTTGACAACAAAATCTGGAAGCTGATTGGTTTCTCTGCAGAGCTGAATCAGATATCGCATTCTCCAGTTTTAGTAAATCAACCCCATTGTGCCAAATCGCATACTTTATCACCATGATTTTTGGTGCTTGTTACAAAGGTGGATTGGGGTGCTGTTAACAACTAATGGCATACAATTCCCATTATTGTCTGTGTATAGCTTTATTGGGTGTCATGTACAACCCAAAACCTTTTGAAATAAAGATTTAAAAAAGCAAAATTAATGGCACCGCTGCATGCCTGCAAAAAGGGATGCATGTTTTCTGTATATTGCTCGATTTTGCAAATGTGAACCCAGACTAATTCTTAACAATCTATTTTAAAACATAAGAATGTCTTAGAAACAAATTAAACTCCAGGGTTATGGAACGCAGCCGCTTTAATTACATTTGCATTGCCAGCTCTCACAGTACAAAGGAGTCTCTTCTAATATTTATTATCCAAAACAACTTTTTTGTGATGCAGATAAAATGACGTTGTTTGCGGCTTTTGTAAACAGATTAGAAAACCACTTTACTCTCAGCGCTCCAGAGCAGTTGAAAGCAGAGATGGAACCCTATGCCAAAAGGAGGCTATTTCAAGCCAATTCTGAAAGCATAAAATCCTGCAGAGAATTAAATTACTGAATCCTAAAACCACAGAACCCCACTAGAGTGTCGCTAAATACATTCAATCTGACATTGCACAACCTCAATGGAAGCTTACTGATGTTTGTCTCTGCATGACACACCTTTGTGATCTGCTAGGCTTTTGATTGAAAATTTTATGATAGAAAAAAAAAGAAATCAATGTATCATTCAAATCAGTCAAAAGCAACTTAGTGCTATGAAAAGTAACAAGTCGTTTTGCAACTTACTCCACGTCAAACATTTTTGTACAGTCTTCTGTGCATAAAAAGTTTCACAATCCACTAACATGAACTGAAATTTTAAATTAAAGTTGAAATCCAGACAAGCAGCTTAATATGAAGATGAAGTACACACACTATATTACCAAAAGTATTTGGGATGCCTGCCTTTACAGGCACATGAACTTTAATGGCATCCCAGTCTTAGTCCATAGGGTTCAATATTGAGTTGGCCCACCCTGTGCAGCTATAATAGCTTCAACTCTTCTGGGAAGGCTGTCCACAAGGTTTAGGAGTGTGTCTATGGGAATGTTTGACCATTCTTCCAGAAGTGCATTTATGAGGTCAGGCACTGATGTCGGATGAGAAGGCTTGGCTCACAGTCTCCACTCCAATTCATTCCAAAGGTGTTCTGTCGGGTTGAGGTCAGGACTCTGTGCAGGCCAGTCAAGTTTCTCTACCCCAAACTCGCTCATCCATGAATTTATGGACCTTGCTTTGTGCATCGGTGTGCAGTCATGTTGGAACAGGAGGGGGCCATCCCCAAACGGATCCCACAAAGCTGAGAGCATGAAATTGTCCAAAATGTCCTGGTATGCTGATGGCTTAAGATTTCCCTTCACTGGGGCCAAGCCCAGTCCCTGAAAAACAACCCCACACCATAAATACCCCTCCACCAAACTTTACACTTGACATAATGCAGTCAGGCAAGTACTATTCCCTTGGCAACCACCAAGCCCAGACACATCCATTGGATTGCCAGACAGAGAAGTGTGATTGGTCATTCCAGAGGACACGTCTCCAGCGCTCTAGAGTCTAGTGGCGGCGTACTTTATACCACTGCATCTGACATTGCACTTGGTGATGTAAGACTTAGATGTAGCTGCTCGGCCATGGAAACCCATTCCATGAAGCTCTCTATGCACTGTTGTTGTGCTAATCTGAAAGCCACACGAAGTTTGGAGGTCTTTAGCTATTGACTCTGCAGTCAGTTGGCTGACTCCACTCTGTCATGTTACGTGGCCTACCACTTCGTGGCTGAGTTGCTGTTGTTCCCAGTTGCTTCTACTTTGTTATAATACCACTAACAGTTGACCATGGAATATTTAGTAGCAAGGAAATTTCACGGATGGACTTATTGCACAGGTGGCAACCTATCTCAGTACCACATTTGAATTCACTGAGCTCCTGAGAGTGACCCATTCTTTCACAAATGTTTGTAGAAGCATCTGCATGCCTAGGTGCTTGATTTTATACACCTTGTGGCCATGGAGGTGATTAGAACACCTAAATCCAATGATTTGGAGGGGTGTCCTAATACTTTTGTCAATATAGTGTATATTAGAGGGGCTTTACTTGCTAAAGGGATTTTATTTATGTCCATCCAGTCCTGGAATTTACACAGCCCAGCGCTCTGTGAGAGGGTAGAAAATCAGATTTTTTTTTTGCTGCAGTTCACTAACACTTACAGGCTTTATCCCTCCCCATCCTGCGATTGCATGGTGAAAGAAGAAGTATGGAGGCTTGCTTGTAAACCTCTGAAATTAAAAATAAATGTAGGGGCCACCAAAGTTTACCAGGTCCTTTGCCAAAATAATGCAAAGGCAGCCAGGCACACAGCAACAGTCTCTGGCTCATTGAACAGTCAAAGGCAGGGTCAACAACCAGTAGATCATGATATACCAATAGATTGCGGCCAGACAACTGGTAGATCATGGTCTGGGCTGGCTGGCCCGCTATCCCAGAGTATCAAACAGGGTGCAATGTAGGGGGACTACTTGTAAAGTTGGAACTGTAGTAGGGAGCAAGAGCTGCATAAGCCTCCTCTGTAGTGCTGGCTCCTGTCCAATCCGAAGTGATACCAACTGCACTTCACCTCTTATCCCAGCTAGTGGTCTCCAGAGTGGTGCCAGCAGCAGGAAAGAAGGGATCTTAAGGGCAGTGTGAAGCAATACACCGGCCATAATAGTATAAGGCTGCTTTCACACTGATGCACTGCGATCTACCCACAGTGTGAGTGCTGTGCAGTGTATCTCTAGCTTTCCTACAGTTTTGCTGTGCTTAGCCATAGACTTCTATTATTTCCTGTGGGTTTAGTGCACTTTATGAAAGTGCACAAAACCTCCTGAATGCATGAGCTTTCGGAAAGTGCACCACACCTGCAGGATATAATAGAAGTCTATGGTAAAACACAGCTGTGACGGAGGAAAGGCAGGACAGAACACACAGAGTGGATGACAGACACGCAAAGCTTTATTGATACAAACAGAAGGCAGTCCTTCAATATGGTGGCAGAGAGGGTGGATTTGCCACTAAAGGGTAATTAGAGGCCCCACCCACTTAGAGCCAAGGAGGTGTCTCTGTAACAGGGGTAGTCCAACACAGGAGGGGGGGTGCGAGGGGCCACCACCGCAACAATTCAGGTAACACAGGGGGGAAGCAGGTACTCACGGATCCAACAGGGTGCCTAGTCTCCCAGGGGTAGAAGCAGAATGCAGGTACCTGTGGAGTCCGGATCAGGCGGGTGGCCTCTGGCTCTGGCAGACGGGCTGTGGTAGTCTCTCCCCCTTCTGTGGGGTCTCTCGCAATCGCAGGCTGTGATAGTCTCTCCCCCTTCTGCGGGGTCTCTCGCAATCACAGGCAAGCTTTCTCTGGCCGCCTCTTCCCTCCCGTGGGGTCTCTGTGAGGCTGGGGTAGGCTTGCAGAGTCTAGTCAGAAAGGTCTCGCCGGAGCTTGAGATCCTTTGCTGACTCCACACCAGAATGAAAACGGAGCGCCTTGCATCAGCCTCTTAAACTGCTGCAGGATGCTCCCCGGTCGCCTTGGCAACCGGGAGGGGGGAAGGAAAATACTAGACCCCAGGGAGAATCAGGCTGGTTACAGGGAAATCCTGGGGGGCAGAGATGATGTCTGCATAGATGAAAAGCAAGTTGGGAGGTGTGCAGAGAGCTCCCAGCCAGCTGGCCGGGAGGGAGGGGGCCCACAGTAATTTGATTAGGCCATTTGGCCTAGTGACACAGGGGACAATTGGAACAATACAGAGCAGGACTCTGAGGGCATGTGATGCAAGGCATTAATAAGGGGATTAATAACTGTCAGGCTCCCATACCGCGACAGCAGCTAATCCAGGAAAGTCACAGATGCACTGCTCTGCACCCGCAGTGCAGGTAAACCACAACACATCAGTGTGAAAGCAGCATTATAGGGGGCTCAGGACAGTAAGGTTTAATTTACATTTGCAGTTTGGGGGGGAACCCTATAGTTAACATGGTTTTTATCACCCCTGCCCCAACCACACCCCCCTTTAGCTGCAGCAGCCAGGGATGTACACATGTTGCAGCTTCAGGAGGAGTTATATGCCCTGTCATTATTATTATTATACAGGATTTATATAGCACGAACAGTTTGCTCAGCACTTTACAATATAATGGGGGACAATACAGCAACAATACAGTTCAATACAAGAGGGTTAGGAGGGCCCTGCTCCTTGGAGCTTACAATCTAAGAGGGAGGGGCTAGTGGTACAAAAGGTAATAAGTGAGGGGGGTGGACTGGTAGGAGGAAGAGAAGATTACATTATTAGCTGAAAGCAGGATAGGCTTCCCTGAAGAGAGGTTTTCAGAGATCGCCTAAAAGTGAGAAGAGTAGGCGATAGTCTGATAAATTGGAGTAGAGAGTTCTAGAATATGGGGGAGGCTCTGGAGAAGTCCTTGAAATGAGCATGGGAGGAGGAGACAAGGGAGCTAGAGAGTAGGAGGTTGTGCGAGGAGCGTAGAGTATGGTTTTGGTGATATTTGGAGACAAGATTGGGGATGGTCATGGTTGGTGGATGTAGCACCTGCCAAGCATGACCCATTCAAGTGAATGAGACAACTCTGCAAGTGCCCTGCAACCTTGTACAGTACACCAAACAAGGGGTTAAAGCAGGCAGCCTTTTATTGCTTTCTCATAACCTGATTTAATCCTTGGACCCCGCAGAAGCATTCAGTTGTGCGGCGCTTGCAGAGTGGCTTGTGATTGGCAGGTGGTAGCACCCACCACAAGCAACAGGGGGTTTAATTCCTGCTGCAGCATGTGTACACATTTGGCTACTGCCTCAGGGATTGGAGGAAGTAAAACTGCGATTAAACCACAGGGTTTTACAACCCCCCAACTTTATGTGTGCATGAGCCCTAAGGGGCATTGTGGTATCATGTGAGGGGGGGGCTCCACAAGGAGATGGGGGGGGTTTGTATTGCATGGGGGAGGCAGGGGGTAAGAATTGTTATAGGAAGGGAAATTTAGGAATATGTGCTAGGAGTGGTGATTTGGGAATATTTTTGTTGAGAGGGGAAATTTTTTGGAGGGAGGCGATTTGTACTAATAGGGATAATTGGGGGGTATTTGTGCTAGGAGGGGGGATAGGAGGAGGGGGATTTGTGCTGGGGGAGGTTTAGAGTGGGTGGGAGAGGATTTGTGCTCGGAGGGAAAATTTGAGGGGTAGGGGATTTGTGCAAGGAGGGGGGATTTGAGGTGTAGAGGATTTGTGCAAGGAGGGGGAATTTCTTTTCTTGTTGGGGAAAGGAGGATTTATGCTGGGGCAAATGGGAAAAGAGAGAATTTGATCTGAGTTGATGAGGATCCAAAGGGGGGGGGGTTTGCTGACATGTAATTCTAATACATTTGGGGGGGGGGGCGCAATTTGGCATGTTTGCCCTGGGCTCTAGATGACTATGAGACTGTGTATAAGGCGTGTGTCCATTCCCTCCACTCAGGTCTCAGATTACACTCAGCCCTATGCTCTATGCTGTGCAGCATGTGGTGACAGATCACTGCCCCCTACCTTCTGGAGCTCGGAGATGCTGTGTAAACAGTGTATTTTGAATAGGTGTAGAGAAGGTTCTAGATAAACAGGTACCTCCTATGTAAAAGGGTTTGTTTCATCTTTGTGTATTATCTGAGGCTGTTCTTTTGAAAAATAACAGATTTACTGGCTATATCACCAGACGAAAATAGAAGAAAGGAGGTCTAAAAAAAAGAAAACTAATACAGCCATCACATCTAAGTAAGCTGCAGTATAATAAATGTGTGCTTTTGGGTTTATTGCTACTCTACCTGCAGCAGTGAAAAATCAGGTTTCCTGCTCTAACATACAGGATATATATATATATATAAATCTCAGGACTAGATGGTCAGAAATTTATTTTATTATTTTTATTTTATTTCAGGTACTTATATAGCGCCATCAATTTGCGCAGCGCTTTACATATATATTGTACATTCACAGAAATACAAAAATTCTGGGAGCCGAAACAGTTGATATACAGTATATGTATTTCATGTGTGGCAGGAAAGGTATCTACCTTGTTCTTTACAGGATGGGGGTTTATTTGGACTTCTATATTACCTACCGGGTCACTTTAATGTCAGAATGTGACTAGTAGCTCTATATCTGGAAAGTAATCATTGCCATCAACAAATTGATACAGCACATTGCATTGCAACATTATTTGTGTTTCACTATCAACATAGCGGCTTTTAGGATTTTGCTGTTATAACACAGAGTATGGTTTCCTTTATATTTTATATCAATTACGTTCCAGGTTCCTCAAATCGTATAATACAAACACTAACAATAGACCATTCTTCATGTGAAAGTATTAGCCAAAAGATATAATTTTGGCTGATAAAAAAAAAAAGAATAAAAATCAGAATGTTTTCTACTGCTGGTGAAGGCAATGATCTCCAATGTGAGCCTGAGCGTACCCGCTGCTGGTTAATCTATAATTAATATCAGCTCATTATTTCCAAATGCTGGTGCCTGTGTTAGAGCATAAATCCTAAGTGCCATTATTGACTAATGCAGGATGTTTTAAAAAGCCACAGTAAAAAAAAAAAATGAAGCTTTATTGGCTGAAACTGACAGCTAAGGGTGAATCACAGCAGACCTGGCTGGACCTCATTTATCATGGACTACGCTAGATCTCTTCTGATTCTGAGAATTCTGTGTCTTTATGCCTGAGTTGCCATCTCAGTCATTCTTGGCATAGATTTTTTAATAAATGTATCATTATATTTAATTGTGACACCATTCTTTCCAAGCAGGCACATATCTAATATTGCTAAAAATGGAACATTTTACACTGATGTAGTTCTGCATATGACCATTAGAGGGGGCATTCACTAACGAAGTTGCAATGCTGGCCCAACAAAGCAAACTGGTT